AAAAGATATCTATAAAGAGATACATTCATAATCTTATGAATCAATATTGTGTGTGTGTGTGTGTGAGCAGAAAGAGAGAGAGAGAAAAATAGAAGGCAAGAGACACATCATGTATATGCATCCACACATATACAAAAAGTGAGAAAATGGAGAATATGTAGCTAGAAGGAAAAATCAGTTATGCCCTGGAGCAAGTATAGAAAGTTTTTAATAAAATATTAAATTTTAAACAAAAAGCAGGATACACTTTACAGAAGAAGGAACATTATACATACGGACACAGTGCGAGATGTAGAGAGTACTCTAAGATACAGGTGAATAGCTATGATAAAGCTACATAAGCAATGAGCTTGAATACATAAGATAAAATGTTTGACTTTATCTGAGAGCTATTGTAGTTCACTAAGGAGTAATAGCAAATGGCATGGGCTTGAAGGAACATTGATTTGATCAAATGATTTAGAGGAGAATGTGACAGCAGCTTGAGATCCAGTTAGAAGGCTAATACACACGTATAGATAAGTGATGAAAGTTCTTGACTCAAAATAGTACCATTGTTAATGGAAAAGGAAAAAATCCACAACACTTTAAAAGTGACTTGGTGCAAATGGCAATCCATTAATCTATACTTTGTGCTTCCCACATTGACCACCATATTTATATTTAATATTTCCCCATCTATTAAAATGGAAGCCAATATTTTGAGTGACTTTGAAAGAGAAGCCTTTTCAGGCCAAGAAACATGATCACGTGTTTTGGAGAATTAATTTTTCTGATGGAAAGAATGTAAAACAGTGGAAATATGTTTTGGAAAATATCAGTATGAACTGAACTTGTGTTTGGTGAATTTAGTAGAAATTCAAATTGTTCTAGCACCCTGAACTGTTTTTTGAAGCCTATTTTTTTTTCCATAGTTCTTCACTGATGGTGCATCTAAGCATGCAAACAATCACCCTGGATGGCAATGTTTTTAGCAAGTATCTCTTCAACTGCTTTTCCTGATTTTTTAAGTTATCTGCCTGGTTTGGTATCACCCTCAGATGTGTGGCTCCACTAATGGGAAATGATTTGCTCTATTATTTTTGATAATAACTGGGGATGTAAGTTATTTCACAGTCTGATCCAATTAAATGCAGGCTTTTCTGCAGAGGTAGTTTTACAGACCAGTCTTCGGGGTTTGTTCTGACCCCAGTAGGGCTCTTTTTCTTCTTCTTTTTTTTTTTTCTGGTAAATCTCCTAGCATATAGTTTATTTTTTTGCTTCTATAGAGCTATTCTTTTTTTTTTTAAATATTATAATACCAAAATCTTTATATTTTTGAACGTGCCCTTAGGCTTGAATTTCTCCACACTGTTTCAAATGTAGTCAATTTATTTTGAGAAAGCTTTTGAGGTCTCTCGTCATAAAAGTGTTTCTCCCACTGCCCAAAATCTCTGAGCCATGTCCTCAGAGATTAGGGTGGAAGTGACACCTTTGTTTACAAGCATGGCAGAGAATATGGGGGGTAGCCTCATGTCTTCTCATCTTGCTTTCTCTAGCATTGAACCTCTGCTCTACCAGTGAGCTAGCGTGAGAGTGATAAGGGACTCCATATTCCTGTCCTGCCTGATGAAAAGGAAGACTCAATTCTCCAAATGGTATTGGGGTAGAAGAACTTTTAAGTTTACAAGAATTCCCAAACTTAGTAAAAGCCTTGCCAGATCAGTGTTGTTGTAATAATTCTTCATTTCCTAATAAAACCTAGTTGTTACCTATCTGGTTATTTCCATTTCTTACAATATGAAAATTACTAATCGGGCATGTTTTATTTACTGATGTTTCTGTGATATTTAATTTAATAATTTTTCCAAGGCCATAAACTAATTTAGACATTCTATGTCCTGTTCAAAACTATAACTGATATTCCTGAGTCTAGTAATTTAAGTCAAGAGAGGCACAAAGACTGGTATGTAGGGCGAGAGAAAAGAGATTAAGAAATTAATCTTCTTAATATGCTATTATTGTTCAGATAATTCTATAATGTGTATTTCAATGTATGGGTTATTGTCTGAATGTTTAAAAAGAAGAGAAAATCTTAAATATTACTCAGTTCAATGTGTCTTTGCAGAATTCTGAGATAAATTTAAATATTAAGCTGAAGCAGAGAAGCTCTTCTTCTGAAGACTGATAAAATAGTGCCTATTTTGACTAATATCAGAATCTTATCTTCATTTTTCTGGTCTCTCATACAAGAAACTGGAAAATAACAAGGACACATTTCTTCTAGTTTTCAGTCTCATTGTTTACATATCAAATCCATGTCAAAATCTTATTACAACATACAGTAAAATCTTTGGACTTTCATTAATTTATGTATTTCACGTAAATTGTTCTGGTGCAAGCCACCGTTATCTCCCACCTGAATTTCTGCAATAAGCTTCTAACTGCTCCGCACTTGTCATCATTTTTAATTTTACTCTACTCGAAATTCTTTTCTACATGTGTTATACTTTTTAGTCACAAATCTGAATAAAAAAGCCACCTAACGAAACCCTTTGATGGCATTTTATTTGAGGTAAAATTTCTTATCTTCATTCTGCTCTACAAGGATCTGTATAATCTGACCTGTATGTATTTCTTCAGTGTTTCTTGTAGCCTCCTCTGATCAGACATTTACCACCTCTGGGCTCTTTTTCATGCGGGACTGGTTGCCAAGGTGGCATTTTTTTCCACTCATTCCCTCATTTTTTTTTCATTTAACTTAAATGAAATGTTCTTTCCTTAAGGAAACGTCATTGACTCTTTCAATCTAAATCTGATGCTACTCTGACTATCTCATTTTATTTATTAACTTCATATTATTTGCCACTATTTAAAATATTAATAACATATTTGTGTGATCAAAGCATCTTAACATTCAATAGCACGGCGAGAAATTTCAAGCCTGCTTAACTTCTCTCTGCAAACCCAGTCCCCCCAAAACACACCCCACCAATCTAGGTGCAGGTTTTGAAGGATTCACATTTGGGTTTACGGAATTCCCAAAGTATAAGGGAAAGATATCCGCAAGTGATAGATAGGAAGTAGCAAAGGGAAGTCTTGTGATCCAACTGCCCGTATTCTTCTGCATGATAATTAACCTTAAAGGCCCAGATATAGATGAAGCCAAGTTCCCCTCCAACCCATAGATGAAACTGAAGGATCATGTCATCATATAACTAAGTTCAGGTGATAGGAGGTAATCACTTGTAAGAGAGCTGCTGAGTAAACTGATCCCCCAAAGTGTCCGAGACACTCCTGTGTCCAATCTCTGGCACTTCCATAGTGCTCGTCTCATCTTTGGCCACCAAGGTTGTACCTATTTCCTCCTCCTTACTTGCCGTACGCTGAATTATTGATCAAACTTAATTTTGAACTGTTCTCTATCTAAATTCATTTGTATGTGTATACAAAGCTTTAATTTCATATAAGCATATTAATTTACCCAAAATTCATATTGTGAGTGACTTGCATAACTCCCTCATAAGACAAAACATTTCTTTAAGTCAAACTATTTATTTAATTAATTATGTCATACATATTCCTGCCTCTCCCATTAACCCTATTATAATGTGTTTTCTGTTTTCTCTCTGTATATGAGTGCAAATATCCTCCTAGGGCTTAGCTCAAGTTCTTACTCTTTGAATGACTTCTTTCTATTCTTTCTATATATATTATTTCCTACTACCTAACCCGTTATGAAATTTTATATTGCATTTTATATTATTTACTTGGTACCTGTGCCTTCTTGTTTTGTTAATCTTTTTTATGTATGTGTCTTTTCTATCCAAGGGAAAGTTCTACATTTTTACTATTGAGGAGTAGGAAAGTGTTTTCGTATTCCTAGATTATAGGTATATGTGTATATATATGTGAATGGAAGAATACATTAATGACAATTCTAGATATTTGTAAACTATGTATTTTCTTCAGAATTAGTTTGCTAACATCCTTGTTCTTTGGGTTTTTAAGAGTTTTATCTACAGGTATTTGTATCACTTAGATCTCCCAGCCACTTCTTTTGCTTGCGTAAGTCAATATAGGAGATATATTGGCTCTATTATATAGTTTGTTCCCCAGAGCTAACATATTGCCCTGTATATAGTGACAGCTTCATTAGTATGTATGTTGATAATGGCACTATTGCAACTCATATTCAATGCCTGCCTTTTTCTTATTCAAATAGTTGAGCATCTTTTTAAATATATGTGTTCAAATACTATATAATTGCAATGATTATAGTGATTATAATGTACCTAAACAGAACATTATACAAGAAGCATATAGAAAATTTTATCTTTGAAATAACTTTTCCTTTAAAAACATGATTGTTATGACTCCTGTCTATACTTGTCAGAAATCCAGATAGTCTGACTTAGACATAAGCATGAGAGAACAACTACCTTTTAAAATTTTAAGCCAAAGTTCCTATATTAACTTTTTGGAAACACATTTGTATCATTATTCTCTGTTAAAATCATGATTTAGAGATTGAAATACTCCCTTACTACCCTTGCCCATTTTCTCAGATATTTCATGATTTAACAAAATAGAAGTCTAGTTAATAATTTAACAGTTTTTGTTAAGACATTAGGGCTCAGCCAAGTCATTGTAGCGCAGATGTTTTAGCAATGATAATCAAAAGTTGGAGTCAAACATGTTAATCATTGAATAATTTTCCTTGCAAGATGACATTGTGTTTTTCTTGATTTCTCACAATTCACATCCATTCCAGATTTGCATTCTTAAGGCAAATCCCAAGACTTGTATGTTAACTTCACATTAATAAAGAAAAATATCAAGTATTTGGTAAGATAGGAAAAAGGACTTATGTATGAAATTTTCAACTATGGCATCAAAATACTATCCATTCTCAATATTGAAATTAGCTTAGTTTCAGAATTTCGGAAGCATATAGCTAGTATGATCCTTCTCAGGGCTGTATGTTGATTCTTTTTTTTTTTTTTTTTTTTTTTTAACAGAATGCCTCTGAGCAGCTGTCAAAAAATTAATCCAGAAGAATTGGAGATGATGTCCTCATACAGAGTTGCATATGCTGAGGGTATAACAGCCACAACGAAGGGAGTTCAAGTAAGTGTCTGCTCTGGTAACTAGCAAGCAACTAAAGCACAATATTGCTAGGATATATGGATCAGATGGACCTAGCATTGAAGCATATTGACAGATAAAAACTGACTAATTTTATTTTCATCCATTCATTTTACCAAGATTTATTGAACATCTACTATGTGTCCCCTGAAAATACAAAGGTGATTAAGACAAAGCCATTTTCTACAAGGTGTATATGGTCCCAGGTTGGACTAGAATGCTATTCTTCCTTGGGAGTAAAGTTCTTTTTGTTTTTTAATCTAGTTTTTATAAAGGCAGAAGACAAGTTCTTGTTGGTAGTTTCAATGATATATCTTGGACCAAAATTCAGAATTCATTTTAGGAAAACATAGGCAAATGTTAGAAAAGTCATAGCGTAAACTGTATGTCCTGTCCCTTCCTCAGTGGCAATCCAGCATTATTTTTGTGTTTTCTATCTGTTTTGATCTTACTGCCCACTTTCTTTATTATAATGATAAGCCCTGTAAATCTTTACATCTGTCAATATCCGTGTTCTTTTATCAAAAAGCATTTGAAACAGATTCATACCCAATAGTAAACAGCTTGAAGTCCCTTATACTATTATTGTTTTCTCATAGGTATTTTCATTTTAACCAGAAAAAAAAAGTAATGGCAATATGTTTAAGGAACCTTAGGTAGTATGTTGCAGGCCAACCACACTTTACAGATAGCCACACCTACTAATTACATCTTAATTCCCCTATTGAAAAGAAAGTCCTAACACTAGAAAAGAGTGATGAGATTGGATTGACAATCAGATTTGATGAAGGAGATAATCATTCACTGTTGTTAGCTCTCAATAGGCAAAATTCCTTTCTATGGGAGTTTTCATAAGGTTAACAAATCACAGTATTGAACCTCACCTGGCACAGTTGTGAATTCCAGCTGAAATGGGCAATATGAGGAAGTGCCTCCTCTGTCAAGTTCTGTTAAGGCACTCCAATTTCCATGTTGACAACATGAACTAAGTTTGTCTTTTCATCACTATCACTTTTGACTTTTGTACCAGTAATAGCAGCCAAAAGGCCCTTAGTCATTGCTGATTTGACTATATTTATTCAGAGGGATTTGAGACTTAAAATCAGGTCAGAATATTTTCCTTCTGCTCAGGAAGACAAAACCGTGTTAGAATTCAAGATGGAGCTATAACGTTTCTCACAGCTGTTTAGAACAAAAACATAGAAAATTTAGTCGCCATATAGTTATTATAGTTGTATCTTCAAACTAGTACTACAGTAACTTGTGGGAATGATAGCTCCATTGCTAAAAATTCAGCCTTACAATTGGCAAAGTAGATATATAGATTGTGATTTCTCTTCCATGTGATTTATATTTCTGCTTCTGTATGAGCTTCTTAATCAACTTGATCTCAAAGTTGGGGGTTTCATATATACAGGGATGTGAACAATTATTCTTACTCTGTAAAAATTAAAAGAATTAGTTTCCATTTTCATTTCACTTTGTTTCTTTTTTGTTCATTTGCTTTTGTCTAACTTGGTAATGCAATGCTCTCATTTATTAGCAAAGTTTCTTTATACAGAGTGCTAAATTCCTAGTGATAATTCTTTACTCTGCCAAGGTTTCGAACTATGAAAAAAGTTTTCCAAAGTAGGCTGGGAAAAAAAAATAAAATGCTATATTTGAACATCAGAAACACATTTTTCTTCATCAAAGAGAAAATAGTTAGAAAATATAAGCCTGGAAATTAGTCCAAAACAGAGATTAATTTTAATTAAGGCTCAAAAAAAGATGACAAGAGTATTGATAAATGACTTTCTTTGCTTTGCTTTCATTTCCCTTTTCTTTAATGGTGTATGCTTGAGGTCAGAAGATTTTCTAGGCTTCAGCAGAGGCTCATTATAGAGTAAAAAATCATGGCAGTTTCAGGAATACCAAATGAAGAGTTACTAGCGTTGGGCATGGTAGGATGCTAAGGTATATCCTCAGACTTCATAATTATTTTAGTCTAAAATATTCACTGAGCTCCTGCTAAGTAAAAGACCTTGATCTAGACACTATGGGGAATACAGAGATAGACTTCAAAAAATCTAGTCTGTGGAGCTGTTGACATAGATGTACATAACTGTATAAGAGACCAATGCAAGGCAGGGAACTGGGCTAGAAGTTCATGTTGGATACAGGGGAAATTCGGCTTCAATATGATCAGTGAATACTGTAGTGCCCAGAGAGAGCTCTGCATCCGCATGGACCTAAAATGCCCAAGAGAAAGGAAGCTACTATTGATTAAGAACATAATCAGTATTAGGCATGCCAGTAGGAATTTTATATGCACTTTCATCTTTAATTATTACAACAGTCTTGTGAAGTAGATGTGACCCCCAATGAGAAATCTGAGGCTAAAATGATTACAAAATGATCTCCATTAGAAGTCATTAATTAAAATCTGTATATTGCAACATGGTTTCTGTACACTCAGTAGACCCTAAGTAAAAAGAAAATTAAAATTGCTGGTTGATTACTTAATGTATTTATTATGAAGATTCTCCCTCACTGTATTTTACTCTTAAGCAAGGTCTCTCCACTCTTCATCTATTTCAATATCTAGGGTGGACAATGTTCAGAGTTTAGAGCATTCTTCCAGGAATGTAATCAGAATCTATCCCCCTCAAAAACATTCCTCAAAAACAGTAATTTTGAAAACAAATTCAAACCAACAGAGAAGCTGAAAAAATAGCCATACATTAAACACCTGTAATATGCTCATTATTCAACAATTGTCAAAATTTTGGTAAATTTGCTTTATCACTCTCCTATCCACCATTCTTCTCTTTCTCGGTCTCTCTCTCTCTTTTTCCCAAGAATCCAGTCTAGCTATTTGTCTTGTAAGATATCGCACAATCAGAGTTTACAGGTTTATTTCCTAATGATGAGATTCAGAAGAAAAGATTTTTTGGTAAGAATATTATGTTATATAATGTGATTTATGTCTTCTTGAAATCACATTGGCGGTACATAATACCAGGTTACTCCATGAATGGTGATGCTAAGTTTTGACTCTGGGTTTGTGTGGTTTCTACCATATCTCTTCCTTATAAAAGAATCATATTTTTTTATAAGTAGAAAGAAGTCTGTGCATTATATGGCGTAAAACGTAAAGATAAGCAAAATTATGATTCCTAACAACGTTTCACCCAATAATTTTAGCATTTATTAGATGCCCCTTGCCCTGATGAAATACTATAATGTCATTATATAATGATGATTTTTAAATTTGAACATTCCTGCCATGTATTTTAGTTAGCATGTAACAATATAGTATTGAGTTTATCATATATGTGTATGAAAATCATACCACATAGGTTAAGAAGAAAAAAAAAGTATATTAGTTTATTAGCTTGCTATATGTGCAATGATGTATTATCACTTGAAAGTAAACTGTAATAAATTAAGATGTATACTATGAACCCTAAAGTGATTACTAAGTTAACAATCTAAAAGCTATAGCTAATAGGCTAAAGAAGATTAGTTTAAATCATTTAAAAATTTTAATTAACCTTAAAAAAGGCAGAAAAAAGAGAAAAGAAAAAATTAGACATAGTACAAATGTAAACCAAATAGATGAGAGAGTTAAACCTAATCATGTGAATAATCAAATTACATGTAAATGATCTAAACATCGTAATTGAATGAAAGAGATTGTCATATTTGATAAGAGAGCAAGATCTAACTATATGCTGCCTACAAAAAGGAACTTCAAATAAAGACACAAATTAAATGTAAAAGTATGGCAAAAGATATACAATAGTAACACTAATAAAAAGAAAACTGAAGTAGCTATATTTTATCATAAAAAGTAGATTTCACAGTATATAATATTAGCAGGGTTAAACAAGATAACTTCAAAATAATAAAGGAATCTATTCTTCAACAGAACAAAGTAATCCTAAACATTCATGTACATAGTAATAGATATTCAAAATACATCAAGAGAAAAATTCATAAAGCAGCAAGGAGAAATAGACAATTATCATTGACAATTAATGAAACTCTCAAGGATAGAAAAATAGAGAGAAAATAATCCAGAATATAGTAGACCTGAAAACCTCTATTAGCTTATTTGACCCAATTGACATTTTTAAAACACTCCATGCAGCATTTACTCAGATAGACTACATATTGTGAGCATTAAAACACATCTCAGTAGATTAAAAATGGTGGATGTACTACGAAGTATATTCTTTGGTCACAATGGAATTACCTTAGAAATGAATAACAAAACAGTACCAGAAAATTTTAAAAGGCTAATCATAATGACATTGGCAAGAATGTGGAACAATTGAAACTCTCACAAACTGCTAGGACATATTCACTTAAGAAAAGTTTGGCAGTTTTTTAAAACATGTAAACATCCACCTCCTATGTGATTCATTAACTCCACAATAGAGAACTGAAAGCATATAACCACAAAATCCTTGCATGTAAGTATTCATAGCTGCATTATTTGTTAGAGTCAAATACTATAAAGGACATATCCATTCATATTTGAATGGATAAATAAATTATTGTATACAATATTTAAATGCACTATATATGTACAATGGAATACTATTCAGCAATATACAGGAATAAACTATTGATAAATACAACAGCATGAATAAATCTCAACATAATTATGTTGAGTGAAATAAGCCAGAAAAAGTATATACTATGTGATTCCGTTTGTATATAATTTGAGAAATAGCAAACTAATATAGCATGACAGTTGACACTTAGATTGTATACTTTCAATATGTACAATTTATTTGATGTCAATTTTACATTGATAAATCTGATCAAAATTAAGTAAAGCAAAATTAATGACTTGAAAATAAAAGATATATAAAAACAGATATGTATATACCTTGGAATAGTCTCCCCCTTACCTCTGTATCTTTCACCACATACCATACAACGAAATAAATTACTAATGCACAAGACAGAACAAAAAGAAACATTCAAGTCTTAGAAAAAGCATAGATAAATATCTTTTAACTGATTACTATTTAAATATAGGAAGGCCTTAGTTTTGGTTATTTTAATTTTATATTTTATCCTTTTCTGAATTATTTTATTATTTGTGTTGGCTTCCTCATAGATTGTCTTGGGTATGTCATATCATGTCATCTGCAAATAGAGATATTTAATTCTTTTCCAATTCTTATTGTAATAACCTTATTACAAACATTAACACCATAGCAACATACATGCTAGAACAATGATTCTTAGGTATCTGTTGAGAATTAAATAATTTTAAG